GAAAACATGGGGGGGGGGGGTATTTCCAAAAGAAGGCAAATCCCCCAAGGGTTTTGGACGGAGGCGGGGCTTCTCCGTGCAATCCGGATTGCAAATCAGCCTTCCCCTCCCCCCTTGGTCTGCGTTACAGCAACGCCTTGCAAGGCACGTCTTTACTTCCTTCTCCAATTAAGGGATGTTCGGGGGGGGGATGTCTCGGGGTCCCGATCCCCACCCCTGGAGTCAGGAAAACTCCCCCCTCCCCGGCATGGCTCCTGAAAGCAAGGCACACATGATCTCTCTCTCTCTCTCTCTCTCTCTCTCTCTCACTCCCACACACACACAGAGAGAGAGGGGGGGGGAGAAACATAAACAGACACACAACCCTTCGCTTGAATCCTGGAGGCACCGGTGCAGGTTAAAAAAGAGTAACGAGAGAAAGTTACTTGGCTTCCCTCACCGCCCACGCACCCTTTCTCCAGAAATTGGGAGGACTTTTAGAGGCTGCAAGCTATTTTTACCTTCTTTTAATGCTTTGGTTATTTTGAAGGCCTGTGGTTTGATCCGCTGCTAGCATCGCTTTGTCGTGTTAGGATGATTGAGGGGGGGAGGGCATCACAGAATAGAAAATGTCTTGATCAATTAATCATTGAATCTTCCATGGCACAGGTTGAGGGACAGAGAAGGCACTGAAACAGATGTGAAGTGGCCTGTTCTGCACACTCAAAAAGGACGCTGTGGGTGCGAAACCCCCGTATCTTTAGGTCCACTTGGCTTTTGTCTGTCACCTAATTCAAGGGACGGAGAGATGTCAGTTTCCTCCCTGTTTACCTTTGAAGGTTCCCTGTAGTGTTGCTTCTGAGCAAGAAAAATCTTTGAGAAATGAAGGCAGGCAGAAAAGGGCTCAAGGAGAGGATGGGTTTCCCTTTAGTGACTGTTCTTCTCTAGAGGCTGGAATAAATCTCCCCAGGGAGAGTATCTTCTTGCACCCCACATGGAGCCTCCGGTCTCAGGATCATCTTTGCCTTTTGCAAAGATTATTCTTATTCTCCATCCCCAGCATCTGCTTCTGGGGTTTCCCTTTACCAGACTGAATCATCATGTAATAATTTGCCCTCCCCCTTGCAGCAAGACCCCGTGGTCTGCATATCTCCCGGCTCCCATGAAGGCTGAGGGATGAGGCTGGAGAGGGAAGAGAGAAGCCTCATCAGGGCGTGGGTGGGAAGAGCGCAGGCGAGACTCTCCCTGCTGGCAAGAAAAGTCCCAGGGAGAGAGGAGCCATGCCCATCCTGGCTCCTTGACCCCCACTGCATTGGGCCCCCCTCTTGGCCCATCAGGCTTGGAGGGAGAGGAAGTCCTGCCAGGATGGGCTGTGTGTTGGCATCCTTCACTGTACAGAACAACAGAATGTCTGTTTTTTATGGACCCGTGACAAGAAAGAGGGAGAGTCCATGGAAACCTACCTTGGCAGTAGGGATGGAGAGAGAGATATGCGAGGTTCGTGGATGGCAATGTGGGGGGCAAAACGTGGAACCAAGGGTCAAACGTCTCTCTTTGTCATGTCTCTTCTTCTCCAAGATGAGGCTGGAGATTCAATCAGTAGATTTGAAACTCTCAAATATCCTGATTCGATTACAAGAGGTTGCTGGGGGAATTTCTGTGCTCTGAAATTGTTTCATACTTAGGTAAAAGGTAAAGGTTCCCCTTGACATTTAGTCAGTCATGTCCGACTCTAGGGGACGGTGCTCATCCCCGTTTCCAAGCTGTAGAGCCAGCGTTTGTCTGAAGACAGTTTCCGTTGTCATGTGGCCAGCGCGATTTACGTACGGAACGCTGTTACCTTCCCACCGAGGTGGTACCTATTTATCAACTCACATTTTTGCATGCTTTCGAACAGGTTGGCGAGGAACTGGGATAAGCGATGGGAGCTCACTCTGTTGTGTGGATTCAATCTTACGACTGCTGGTCTTTTGACCCTGCAGCACAGAGGCTTCTGCGGTTTAACCCTCAGTGCCACCACGTCCCTATGTTTCATACTTTTGGGGACACTAAGAGGGATTTTTGAGAGAAGGGAGATGCTGAGGGATCTCCAATGTCACCCCCACCAGGAAGTTTCCCCTCCTGAGCGAAGATTGGAAGCAAAGTCTCCCAAGTCCAACCCACTGGCTCATCTGGAAGGGTTTTCCAGTTGGGACAAATGCCGCCTGGTCTGCTTCTCCTCTTTCCTGCCTGTGGGAATCGGAAGCAGAGCCTGTGGTTGTTGTCTTGTTCCCAGCTGTTAACCGCTTCCCTGATCAAGCTCATCTCTCACAATTCTTCTGCTCTTGCCTTCCTTTCTCCCTGGGGTTCCTTCCATTGCTGCCTTTCTTTCCTGCCTGTGGGAATCGGAAGCAGAGCCTGTGATTGTTGTCCTGTTCCCAGCTGTTAATCCCTTCCCCGATCAAGCTCATATCTCACAATCTAGGAGATGCCCCTTTCTTCTGCTCTTGCCTTCCTTCCTCCCTGGGGTTCCTTCCATTGCTGCCTTTCCATTCTCCTTTTTTCTTTCTGTGAAGGGGAGAGAGAGAGAGATGGAGCCCCTAAGTTATTAAAAAAGGCAAAGGCAATTACTCTAACTCGTAACTTTCAGTAAGTTTGGATGCTTCTTTATCCAAGAAGCCTTCATACTGATTCCTTTCTTTTTCGCTCTCCAAAGGAGTGGGTGAAACGTAGCTGATTTCTCCTTGTTTTTTTCTGGACCAGAAGATAAGAATCCAATTCAAAAGCCCTCCAGCATTTGCAAGGGAGGTAAGAAGATGTTTTTGTTTTAGATCAGAAGTACAGTTAGTAAGATGCAATGCATTGCAAAGCTTAGACAAGTATGTCAGTTGATTTTTGCTCAGTAACACCAAGAGCATTTGAGGGAGCCACCACCAGAACATCCATGACACATGCCGAGGGGCAGAGAGGATGGTGAGATGGTTGTGATGTTTCCTGTTCTTTCTCTCAGAGGACTAAGTGGGTACAAAATCCTCATATTTTTGCAATTCACTTTGCTTCTGCCAACTTCAGTCTGCAGCCTCCTGAGTGACTTCCACGTGGCTCAGTTCTCCTTGTGACCAGGGGCTGGACTTTCCTGATTTCTCATCCATCTTAAGAGGTGTGTAGTTCTTTCCTCTGTCATTATAGTTCTGGCATTGCTGTCCCTTCAAAGTACACAGGTTTTTAAAATGCTTTCCCTGGATTTTAATCTGGAAAGAATAGAAATACTACCAAAGAATGTATGCAGATTGCAGGTAGATACTCTTGAGTCTTTCACTCTTAACGGCTGTGTCTCTACATGAGTGTCTGCCATGTCTGTCACAGTGGTGCTTCGCTTAGCGACGTTAATCCATGCAGGAAAAAAGTCGCTAAGCGATTTCATCGCTAAGCGATTTTTAAAAGCCCATAGAAACGCATTAAAATGCGTTTATTGCGTTCCTATGGGCTTAAAAACTCACCTTCTGTGAAAATCCTCCATAGGGGCAGCCATTTTTGGTGCCTCTAAAGCGAGGCAACATAGTGGGCGGCCATTTTGGAACCGCCGGTCAGCTGTGCAAAAATGGGGTCTTTGTGATGATCGCGGGAGAGCACTCCCCCACGATCATTCCTAAAGGCCCCGCCGATCAGCTGTGCTTCGGCTCTCTCTCTCCACCCCTCGCAGCTCCAGCCTCGGCAGGAAGACTGACAGCCTCGGCAGGGAGACTGAGGCACCGCCGCTGCCACCCTGGCCGAGAAAGACCCTCTGCACCTACAGAGGGTCTTTCTCAGCCAGGGTGGTGTCGCCACCTCAGTCTCCCTGCCGAGGCTGGAGCTGCAAGGGGAGAGAGAGAGAGACAGAGCTGAAGCACAGCTGATTGGTGGGGGTTTGCAATGATGGCTTCCCTGCGATCTTCGCGAACTCCTGCCGATCAGCTGTGCTTCAGCTCTCTTTCTCCCCACTCCTCGCAGCATAGCTGATCAGCGGGGCCTTTGGGATGATCGCGGGGAAGCGCTTCCACGCGATCATCGCAAAGCGAATTTTCCCCATAGGGGCCATCACAAAGCAGTCGCTCTTGGAAATTCTTTGGGTTGGATGTGAATTAATAGCAGCATTTTGCCCTTTTTATGTACATATTGATAGGTAGAGTAACAACCAGAAACAACCACAACCATTCATCTTAACAGTCCTTGTGTGTCTGTGAAGAATTTATTAATTTGATGGGCATGGCAGTTCAAAACGCCGTTGTGAAGGAGGTGAAGTTGGCCGAGTGTTATTCAATATGTGTGGATTCCACTCATGATGTGAGTCACTTGGACCAGTTAACCTTTCCATTGTGTTGTGTTGATAGATGCAGTGGTGAACCAGTGGAAAGGTTTCTGCAATTTCTCCCTATATTTTCGCAAACATGACAATTTACAACACCCTTCAGAACTACACTATAGATGTCATAGGTAGATATCATAGATTCATGGAATAATGAAGTTGGAAGGGGTCTCTCAGGTCATCAAGTCCATCCCCTGCTTGATGGAGAAACACAAATCAAAGGATATCTGCTGGGTTGTTGTCCAAGTTTTTCTTGAATGCCTCCAGTGTTGGAGCACTCATAATCTCTCAACATACAGTAGTTTGTTCCATTGTTGTACCACTCTAACAGAATGTTTTTTTCTGATATTCAATCGAAATCTGGCTTCCTGGAACGTGAGTCCATTTTTGCATGTCCTGAACTCTGGGATGGTGCAGAACAGATCCTCGCCCTTTTCTGTAGGAAAACTTTCAAGCATTTGACTCCTCTTCCTTCCTGCACCCACCTGGCCTTTCCCTCCCCGGGGGATCTGCAGCCTTTTTCAAGATTTGGGAAAGGGGGGGCTTGGGTTTCCTCCACGGGGGGGGCACGCTCCGGGGTGTGTGTGTCCTTGAAACTTTGGGAGGGCTGGGGAAGGCCCCAATAATTTTTCTCATTCTTTTTTACACCCGCCAATGCTTGCAGGATTCCCGAGGAAGTTTTGTGGGGGTCTTTGCAGGAAAAACCAGGACAACCCCACCCCCAATCCTGGACACATACTGGGGGGGAGGGAGCTTGCTGGGAGGAGATGGTGGAGGGGTGGGATTTGGACCACCCCAGACATCTTGCTTCCCCTCCCCCAAAGATCTCAAGGGAGGGACCCAGAAAAAAACCCACCTCTGCAAGCATTCGTGCAATGCAGACCCAGGTGAAGGGAGACCACGTCCAGTCCGGATCACGGGGAGAAGCCTCCACCTCGCTGCTCACGTATTTATCTCCCCACCAACGCACATACAACCTTATGCATCCCAATTCACCCCCTTCCCTTCGGGTCCAGAGGGGGGACACCCCCAAGGAACACCCCTTTGCAAGCTGATCCCCAAGAGACCCCAGAGAGCGAGAGGGAGGAAGAGGCCAGCACCGGCTGCTGCCACCAGCCCAGAAGAGCTGGCTTACTCAAGGAGCAGGGGATCCATTAAAATAAAATAAGAAATAGAATCATTTCCGGTTGCTGTTTGAGAGACGCCAAGGGAAAGAGTGCCTCCATTTCTTCATAGCTTTACCTTCCTTCCTTTTGACAGTTCCTTTCTTTTCATGAATGGGGGAGGGGACTTTGGCCCCAGTTTTGCTTTGAAGTCCAAACCAGAGGTCTCTCCCCCCCCCCCGTTTACAACTTTTTACAAGAAGAGATGAGGGGGAACCTAGAGCTATGCATTATATAGAGGAGCACAATCGGACCTGCTCCAGGAGTCAATCACTCTCTGCCAAGAAGATTTGGGGGGGAGAGGGAGACTTTTCCTTATAACACCTCCCCCCCAGATCCTTTCGTCCTTTCTCTTTCTGCAGGTTCCCCCCCTCCCCGTCTCCCATATGAATGAAGAGCCTGGGGAGGCGCTGAGAGTAGGCAACAGAAGATAATGTTGATGATGGGGCGGGGGATTCCAGCTCTCCAGAGCCCCCCCATTTTCTCTCTGTGTTTTCCCCCCTCCCCCTCGTGAAACCCTTTGGGTTAGAGGGAGACCCTAGAGCTACGAAGAGGTTAGATAAGGAGCTCCTCTGCTGTGCCCGTTCTCAAAAGCAGGAACCGGAAAGGGATGAGAGGGCGCGTCTGTCTCCTCCCATCTCTATGGTCCCCGGAGAACATCCAAATTTCTGGAATGCCTCCAGTCCTGGAGCCCTCCCCCCCTCCTGAGCTCATGGCTTCCATTGTCGTACTGCTCTAACCGTTAAGAAGTTTGCTCCTCATTTTCAGCCAAAAGCTGGCTTCCTGTAACTTGAGTCCCTTTATGTCATGTATCCCTCATAAGGATATAAACATAAAAATCAGCCTCCCCCCCCCTTTTCCGGTCTGCATTATAGCAACGCCTTGCAAGGCAGGCTTTTTTTCTGCTGCTTCTCCCATTAGGGGAGGGTGGGGGAAGAGATGGAGGAAGGAAAACTAACCCCCCCACTACCCCCCAACATGGCTCTTGAAAGCAAGTTTTCTCTCTTCACACGCGCGCACACACAAACACACAGAGACAACCCCTCCCTTGAATCCTGGAGACGCCGGTGTGGGTTTAAAAAAAAAGGAACGAGAGAAAGTAACTTGGCTTCCCTCACCGCCCGCAAACCCTTTCTCCAGAACTTGGGAGGACTTATTTGGAGGCTGCCATCTATTTTTACCTTCTTTTAATGCTTTGGTTATTTATTTATTTGGAATTGTAAGTTAACTGATTTTGATGGCTTTATTGTGAAGTCAGTTTTCTTTGATTTTACTGGTTTTACAATTAAATTTGTTTCCTTTAAAAATTTTTTTTTGTTTTTTAATTTTATTTTTAACATGAGGGATGACAACGGAAGAAGGGGAATTGGGATTTGTGAGGAAGCGGGGAGACAATAACATACTAATATCCAATCTATACCTATTGCCATATCAAATTTTGGATCATTCTACTTACTCTTTTCTGCCTTATATATAAAGTTCTCATTTCAATATATGTGTTCAGCTACTGCCTGTGAATTTAGTCCATTTATTAAATAAGTCCCATCTTTCTGTTGCCTTTTGCAAGGGTTGATCCTTCATGGCTTCTGATAAGATATCCATTTCGGCTATTTCCCGTATCTTTTCAATAAGATCTTCTTGTTCCGGTATTGTCGGACTTTTCCAATTTCTAGCATACATAATTCTGGCTGCCGTAATAATATAACTGTGTTCCTTTGACTTATCTATATTATCGGGTATCATACTTAGTAAAAACAATTCTGGGATTAGTGACACTTTACAGTGCAAAATTTGGTGTAACATAGCATGTACTCTTTTCCAATATATTTTCGCTACTCCACATGACCACCACATATAATAACTTCCCATTTGTGTTTCATATTTCCAACACTTATTTGATACATCAGTATACATCTTTGACAGTTTTTCTGGGGTCATATGCCACCTATAAAACATCTTATATATATTCTCTTTAAAATTAACCGATCTTGTGAGCTTTATGTTATTTTGCCATATTTTCAGCCATTGATCCATATCAATGTTGTGCCCTATGTTTTGTGCCCACTTAATCATTAGTTCTTTAACCATCTCATCTTGCATTTGAATTTCCAACATATAATTATACATTTTCTTAACAATTTGTTCTTTTGAACCCAATAACAATTTGGTTATTTTGAAGGCCTGTGGTTTGATCCAGCGCCACCCATCGTCTGCTCTCCGTGTGTCACTTTGTAGTGTTAGGATGATGGGCAGTGGGGGGGAGGAGGGCATCGCAGGATAGAAATGTCCTGATCGATTAATCATTGAATCTTCCATGGCACACGTTAAGGGATGGAGAAGACACTGAAACGGGTGTGCGGTGGCCTGTTCTGCACTCAAAAAGGACGGCGTGGGTGCGAAATCCCCGTATCTTTAGGTCCACTTGGGTTCTGTCTGTCACCTAATTTAAGGGATGCGGAGATGTTGCAAGAATTCTCTACATGGGTTGGTAGCTGAATTACTCCTGAACAGGAAAATTTCCCCCCCGAAATGAAGGCAGGCAGAAAAAGTCCCCAGAAGATGATGGGCTTCCCTTCAGGGAATGTTCTTCATCATCAAAGGCTGGAATAAATCTCCCCAGGGAGAGGATCTTCTTGCACCCCACATGGAGCCTCTGGCCTCAGGATCATTTTTGCCCTTTGCATCTCCATCCCCAGCATCTGCTTCTGGGGCTTTTCACTCCTGCAGGTCTCTTTCTAAAGCGAATGGCTCTGAATTGTCCCTTCCAGACCAAATCATCCTCACATACTTTGTGCTCCACCAGGCAGCGAGACCCCACGCTCTGCATCTCTCCCACTCCCGTGAGGGTTGAGGGTGAGCTCAGAAGGAAAGGAGAAGCCTCAGTGGGGTGTGCGTGGAATGGGCACAGGCCAGGCTCTCCCTGCAGGTGGGAAAAGTCCCAGGGAGAGATGAGCCATGCCCACCCGGGCTCCTTGATCCTCACTGCACAGGGCCTCTTTTCTCACTGGGCTTGGAGGGAGAGGAAGGCGTGCCAGGATGGGCCGTGTGTCAGCATCTTTCCCCATCCAGAACAACGAGATGGCTTTCTTTCATGGCCCCGTGGCAAGAGACAGGAGTCCACGGAAACCTATCTCGGCAGAAGGGAGGGAGGGACAGCCGTGCGAGGTTTGTGGATGGCGATTTCTGCAAGAGAGAGAAGGAGTCCACGGAAACTTATCTTGGCAAAAGGGAGGGAGGGAGAGCCGTGCGAGGTTTGTGGATGGCGATTTCAGGGCTGAACAGGGCTCACCTGAAAGGGTTTTCTGGTTGAGACAAATGCTGCCTGGTCTGCTTCTCCTTTTTCCTGCTTGTGGGAACCGGAATGAGGGCCTGTGGTTCTTGTCTTGTTCCCAGCTTTTCACCACTTCCCTGTTCAGGCTCATCACTCAGAATCCGCGAGATGCCCCTTTTTTCTCCTCTTGTCTTCTGTCCTCCCTGGTGTTCCTTTCCTTGCTGCCTTTCCTTTCCCCTTTTCCTGCTCTCTGAAGGAGAGAGAGAGAGAGAGAGAGAGAGAGAGAGAGAGAGAGAGAGAGGTGTAGCCCACAAGATATAAAAAAAGACAAAGGCATTTGCTCTTAAGCCGTAGTTTCCTTTATCCATAAAGCCCCCAAACTGATTTCTTTCTCTCTCTCTCCAAAGGAGTGGGTGAAGCGAAGCTGATTTCTCCTTGTTTTTTTTCTGGACCAGAAGATAAGAATCCAGTTCAAAAACCTTCCAGCATTTGCAAGTCAGGTAAGAAGATTACATTACTTTCTTTAAGATCAGAGGTACAGTTAGTAAGATGCAATGCATTGCAGAGCTTACACAAGTAAGTCAGTTGATTTTTGCTCAGTAACACCAAGAGCATTTGAGGGAGCCATCACCACAATGTCCATGACACATGCTGAGGGACAGAGAGGATGGTGAGATAGTTGTGATTTTGCCTGTTCTTTCTCTCAAAGGACTAAGTGGGTACAAAATCCTCGTATTTTCGCAATTCACTTTGCCAACTTCAGTCTGCAGCCTCCTGAATGACCTCCACGTAGCTCAGTTGTCCATGTGACCAGGGGCTGGACTTTCCTGATTTCTGTTCCATCTTAAGAATTGTCTAGTTCTTTTTTTCTGGCATGCTCTGCTGTCTCCTTTAAAAATCACAAATTTTTCTAAAACTGTTCTACCGTAGTCTCTCGAGACTGAAGGATGCCTACACACAAAAAAACTATTCCTAGTTTTTAATCTGGATAGAACAGGAAGACAACCAAAGAGTATATGCAAATTCAAGGTAGATACTCTGAGTCCTTCATTCTTAAGGCCTGTGTCTCTACATGAGTGGGTACCATGTCTGTTTGGTCATCACCCATCATCAAGAGGGATGGACTTCAGGGCTCCAGATATGACTCCCCAGCTTTTCCTGCAGTGCTTGGTCTGCCTGTTCTCCATGGGTCGGACTGTACCCTACTAGGCTGGAGTCTTCACCTCCAGAGTAGCCTTAAGTCAAGGGTTTCGTTCTTGGTGTTTGTGTTGGGGTGGCCCCAGCTGGTTCCTGCTGTTGAGAAAACGTTCCCTGTGGAGTCTTTTGGTTTGTAAAAGAGAGGTCCGAGAGGCACCAACGTAAGGTGATATGTCGAAGGAGTGGACGAAATAGCCTCCCCCCACTCACTACCACATACACACCCTTGCCGAGTGAGGGTCTCAGTTTGGAAGTTACTACACTAGCTCTTTGAACATGTACAGAATGTTTTCCTTATTGCGCCCAATCCTGCTTGGGCGAAGTGCTTACTCCCAAAGGGCAAGTGCTTTTGGTGAGAGGCAAATTCTGGTTAGTCTGGTGTGTGGGGCTCCCCCAAACGTCTTCTACGAAGTGCTTACTCCCAAAGGGCAAGTGGTTTTGGTGAGAGGTGTCATGAACTAAATCCTATGAAATACAACATTATTCTATTTTCATAATCAAATTCATGACAAGAGGCAAATTCTGGTTAGTTTGGTGTGTGGGGCTCCCCCAAACGTCTTCTTTCTCCCCTTCCTAGAAGGACAGAAACGCTCCCCCTAATGAGTCTGTTTCCTTTTGGAAGTTCAACTGTGGGTGCCCCAGTATGAGAAGGATTCAGACCACCTGGAGTAGCTCTGAAGACATCCAGCCTGGAGGGTGGGATCAGGGTCCTGGAAATCCTGAGAGATCAGCAGTGAAGGGTCAGGCGGGGGGGGGGGCAAGCGGATGAAGGAAAAGGCAACCCGATGGCGCAGGGTCCTGGAGATCCTGAGGGATCAGCAGTGAAGGGTCAGGCGGGGTGGGGTGGGGGTCAAGCGGATGAAGGAAACGGCAACCCGATGGCGTTTCTAGTCCTTAAAGAAAGTCCAGGCAGGAAGGGAAAGGAAGGAAGCTTTCCTGCTTGAGGCCAGGGAGAGAAGCAGCCCCTCCGTGCTGTCCATCCTGGCCCGATGAAGGAGGAGGCTGAGCAGGGATGAGGTGGCTTGTCTCCAAGGGCTTGTGGGGCTCAGTTGTGGGGATGGAGGGAAAATTGCACCTTACGGTTTAAAAACAGGAAGCATGGAGACTATTTATGAGATTTCCCCTCTCTAGAATTGGAAACCTGTTCCTGTTCAGACTTCAGATTCCAAAATCAGATTCCACCACCCAGACCCCAGAATTCTCTTAGATACTTTTGTCTTTCATGAGGGGAGGGGAGTTTCCCTTGTGGAAGGTGGGGGGGGCAGTTTCACAGGGATCATTCCAGCCAACTTGCAGCTCCCAAGGGAGGAAACGAGGGGGTGAGAAGGGAATCACCGGGTCTCTTCCACCTCCCCGATCTCTTTAAAATCAGTTTTTAAAATAAGTGTTCCTAAAACACAGGACAATATATCATGGAAACATACAAGATCAGTGGTTCACAAACTTTTTTACTTGCGGCCCCCTTTTCTCTCTGGCCGCTTGCCACAGCTCCCCAGTACAGAAGGACTGCCGTATCCATGGGATCAGAACTTGCTGCTTCACTGCTTAGGAAAAATAGAAAAAAAATTGTGAGTACACCTTCCTGGCCGTATCCATGGGCTCAGAACATGGGGCTTCACTGCTTAGCAAAAATAATAGGAAAAAAAACCTCGTAAATACAGCTTTCTAGAGTGTATTACCTGAACTAGCCACTAGATGGTACAAGAGACTGGTGCTGTAGCAAAAATAAAAAAACTCATAAATACAGCTTTCTAGGGTATATTATCTGAACTAGCCACTAGATGGTACAAGAGACTGGTGCTGATTGTTCTGTAAAGCTTTAACCTCATAACAAATCAATAATTCTTTAATCCCCTGTGGTAACAATGAGGAATATGTAGTATTTACACATGAAACTTTTTAAATGTAAAGGCGTGTAACCATCATTCAGGATGTTCGGAACGAATACAATGTTAGGTTAAGAAATAAACTCATGAACAAACCTTTCTAGGGTGTATTACCAGGACTGGCCACTGCACAAATACGATGTTAAGGAAGTAACGCCAAGTGGGGGCATTTTCCCTGCTAAGGGCTAACTGGACAGGCAGCTGAGTCGATACACATCTGCATGGTCAAGCTGACATTGAGTACCGAAGGGAATCCGACTCTTTGAAGGTCCATGTTCCCTAGAGCAGTGGTCTCCAACCTTGCACACATCTACATGGTCAAGCTGACGTTGAGTACCGAAGGGAACCCGACTCTTTGAAGGTCCATGTTCCCCAGAGAGCATCACGATGTTTTGACTTAAACCAAAACAGCAAAAGTATTTAAATAGAGACCTCTATGATGTTTACGGAATATCTCAAAGGGAATGAGGACATCTCCCAGGAGGCATCTCCCGTGAATCATGGCCAGCTGTTTTTTTTGCAAACAAGTGGGAGGTGGCAGACATACTGAGAGCAGCCAGGAGACAGCCATGGGAATGACACAGATGAAGTCCAGGCGAGCTTTTCTCTTTTAGAGAAAATGTATTTCTATGTATCAGCCAGATGCTTAGAGCATGCTTTTCATAAAGAATGCTTTTCATTTTGTATTTTTTTATTATAAGAACCGTAATGTTCTTTAATATAATTTTAAGAAAGCTTTTGTATCTTTTAAAGTTATGTTCCTTTTTACTTTTCATTGAAATATTATAGAGGTGCATTCTCTGCCTTCATAGGCTATGAACTGTGTTTTGATGTTATTATAATTTTGATTCAAACATGACTGAGTTCTTGTCTGGACTTTGCATAGCTATAAGCTTACAACTGAGATGTATTCTCTGAAAAGTATTTGTTGAAAGCTTAGGTTCCATTTTTATGGACTTTTAAGTTTTTTAATCCATTATTTTGCAAATCTATGACTTTTGAATTAAGCATATTAGTGTGAGCCCCCTACCGCTCCCTCCATGACGAGGCAGTAAGCTGTTGTAGAACTAGGACTTTATTTGGAACAATGAAAGGTGGAAAGATTATTGTAACATACAGCTCTTCTCTCACCTGTCCGTCACAGCTGGGCAGGGGAACATCAGCCAATGAGAGGACGGAGGGTGGTGCAGAAGGGGGAGGAGCTGGATTGTATAAGGAGTGTGTGTGATGTGTGAGGGAGAGTTTTTTGAGAGAGTTTTTGGAGATGAGAGAAGTTGTTTGAGAGAGTGAGATAGATTTGTGAGAGCTAGTCATTGAGGGAAAAGTCTGTGTGAGGTGCATTAATCGAGAAACGTGATTTACAACTTGATTTACTACCTGTGATTCACTCTTTTTTATTTTGTTAAATCAATAAACAACGTTTTGTTTTAGAAGAAACACTTGTCCATTTTGATTACTGAATAAACTTTGGTGGCAGCAGCAGAAGAAGAGTAGTGAGCACTCTTGGAGGCCTGTATTGGTAGAGGCTTCAGAGCGGCCCGCTACAATTATATATAAACACAAGTTCTGCAGTGTCGGCACCTGCACAGTTTGAGGGTGCTGGGATTCCTTGCAGCACCAGACGCCTCTGGGCAAGAGCAGAATCTAGACCAGGGCCGTCCTCTGAAGGTTGGTTGCCCTTCCTATACGTATGCCCCTCTGGCAAGAAGGATCCTTCGCGTTTTGGCTGCCCTTGGTGCGTGTATCGGCTCATTTTCCCATGACCATAAATGAGAAAAACTAATCCCGTGCTTGATTCCCAATCAGATGGACTTTTGTGCTGTACTCCTTATTCTCTGTTTTTTCCCCTTCCTCCTTCAGGTGACAAACAGGAGAAATTGATAGAACCACCCATTCTGATACCTTCCTCCTTCAGGTGACAGAAACAGGAGAACCAGAAATTGATAGAACCACCCATTCTGATACTGAGAGCAACCCATTAAGAAGCAGGAAAGAGGAAAATCAGATTCCCACAAGGAGGAAAATGGCAAAACGGAAGGCAGATAATGGCAGAGCAAAACAAATCTCCAGGTGATGTTTATAAATTCTTGACAATCCGAATGTAATATTAGGAAAAGGAAGGTGACATTGTTCCTTTGGCAGAAAAGCTTGCAAGAGTACCTAGAAGTTGTTGAGTCCACCTAGAGGAAAAGCCATGTCAATTCATGGAAAAAGCATCACTATGAATAATAAATGTATTTCAGATGAAGAACCCCTCAGAGGGGAGAAAAGGTATAACTGTATGCAGTGTGGAAAGAGCTTCAGGCAAAGGAGGTACCTAAGTAAACATCAAATAACTCACACAGGGGAGAAACCATATGAATGCCTGGAATGCGGGAAGAGCTTCAGTCGGAAAGATCAACTTAGTTTCCATCAAAGAACTCACACAGGAGAAAAGCCGTATAAGTGCACAGAATGCGGGAAATGCTTCGGTCACAGCAGTACCCTACGTTTACATCAAAGGACTCACACTGGGGAGAAACCTTATGAATGCCTGGAATGCGGGAAGAGCTTCAGTCGGAAAGATCAACTTAGTTTCCATCAAAGAACTCACACAGGAGAGAAGCCGTATAAGTGCATAGCTTGTGGGAAGAGGTTTAGTCAACACAGTGCCCTATATTTACATCACAGAACTCACACAGGGGAGAAACCATATGAATGCGAGGAATGTGGAAAGAGTTTCAGGGACTGCAATACCCTACGTTTCCATCAAAGAACTCACACTGGGGAGAAACCATATAAATGCATGGAATGTGGAAAGAACTTCAGTTGGAGCAGTAGCCTAAATATACATCACAGAACTCACACAGGGGAGAAACTATTTAAATGCCTGGAATGTGGGAAGAGCTTCAGTCGGAACAGTTCCCTGAGTGTACATCATAGAACTCACACAGGGGAGAAACCATATGAATGCATAGAATGTGGAAAGAGTTTCCACGATATGAGTACCTTTAAATTACACAGAAGAATTCACACCGGAGAAAAACCATATAAATGCATGGAATGTGGACGGAGCTTTAAACAGCGTGTTAGCCTGAGATTACATCAAAGAATTCATACAGGGGAGAAACCATATAAATGCATAGAATGTGGAAACAGCTTTCGTTTCGCCAGTAGCCTATATACACATCGGAAAAGTCACACAGGGGAGAAACCATATGAATGTATGGAATGTGGAAAGAGATTCAGTCAGCACAGTTCCCTGCATTTACATGAAAGAACTCACAAAGGGGAGAAACCATATGAATGCATGGAATGTGGAAAGAGCTTTAGTCAGAGTTGTTACCTTAGGCCCCATCAAAGAATTCATACAGGGGAGAAACCTTATAAATGCCTAGAATGTGGAAAGAGTTTCAGGGAAAGCAATACCCTAAGATTGCATCAAAGAACTCATACAGGGGAGAAACCATATAAATGCATGGACTGTGGACGGAACTTTAGGCACAGTGGTAGCCTGAGAAGACATCAGAGTATTCATACAGGGGAGAAATTTTATAAATGCTTGGAATGTGGAAAGAACTTCAGTAACAAGAGTAGCTTAAATGCACATCAAAGAACTCATACAGGGGAGAAACCATATGAATGCCTGGAATGTGGAAAGAGTTTCAGTCAGAGCACTAAGCTACGTTTTCATAAAAGAACTCACACAGGGGAAAAACCATATAAATGCATGGAATGTGGGAAAAGCTTCAGTCAGAGTTGTTACCTTAGTTCCCATAAAACAACTCACAGTGGAGAAAAACCATATAATTGCACGGAATGTGGATTGAGCTTTAAACGGAGTCAAAGCTTGAGGGTACATCAAAATATTCATACTGGGGATAAATCATACAAATGCTTGGAATGTGGAAAGAACTTCTGTCACAGCAGTAACCTAAATGCCCATCAAAGAACTCACAGTGGGGAGAAACCATATGAATGTCTGGAATGTGGGAAGAGCTTCAGTAGCAAAAGTCACCTTAGTTCCCATCAAACAACTCACACAGGAGAGAAGCCATATAAATGCATAGAATGTGGGAAGAGCTTCAGTCAAAATCATCAACTTAGTTCACATCAAAGAATTCACACAGGGGAGAAACCATATAAGTGCCTGGAATGTGGAAAGAGTTTCAGGGACAGAAGTACTCTAATTTACCATGAGAGAACTCACACAGGGGAGAAACCATATAAATGTTTGGAATGTGGAAAGGGCTTCATTAACAGCAGTCAACTTCGTACACATCAAAGGATTCACACAGGGGAGAAACCATATAAATGCGTAGAGTGTGGGAAGAGCTTCAGTCAGAGCGCTCACCTTAGTTCACATAAAAAAACCTCACACGGGGATAAACCATATAAATGACTGTAATGTGTGAAGATGTTGAGTGGAATGCGGAAATTTCTTTGTTTGTTTGTTTATTTATTTATTCGGAGAGGTAAACTTCGTTCACATCAAACCCATCAAAGAACACACGCAGGGGAAAAACCATATAAATGACTGGAATGTGGAAATTTCTTTCTTTGTTTTATTTATTTATTTATTTAGTTCAATACTTAATTTCTTCTTAATGTCAATACTTAATTTGTTTTTCCCTTCTATTTATTATTTGTTTTATTATATGTGATGTTGTTTAATTTGCAATTTTATGGGTTATTGTACATTGTAAACTTTTATGGAAGCCGCTCAGAGTGGTCGATTTGATCAGATGAGCGGGATATAAATCAAATAAATAAATAAATAAATAAACAAATAAACAAACAAACAAATAAATAAATAAATTATTTATTGAATTTCTATCCTGCCCATCTAGACCAAAGGTCTACTCTGGGCGGTTTACAATTTTAAAAGCAATAAAACCAAAATATATACTGTATTATATGTCCAAGATGGCGAAGCATAAGAAATTAAGATATGGCAGGAGAGAAAGCCTGCCCAAATAGCCAGGTTTTAAGTTTTTTCCTGAAAACACCCAGAGAGGGAGCCAGGTGGTTCTCCACTGGCAAGTTGTTCCAAGGCGAGGGGCCATTGCCAAGAAGGCCCTATTCCTCGTTCTTTCCTTCCAGACCTCCCTTGGTGTTAGGCCCCTCAGCCACCAGCTGGCTGGAACGAGAGACTCTGGCAGAACTGGGTGGGAGAAGACACTCTGCCAAATATCGAGGTCCTAAACACCTGACATGTGATAGGAAAACGGGAAGAGGCCAGTCACAAAATAACAACTGCGAGTACGTGGTGGCGGGCTGTTTTCTTTGTTTCTTGGTTTCGCGTTTCTTTTTTCTCCCTCTTTTTGTGTGGTTTTGTGGCTGGAACGAGAAACTCTGGCAGAATTGGGTGGGAGAAGGCACTCTGCCAAATATCGAGGTCCTAAACACCTGACATGTGATAGGAAAACGGGAAGAGGCCAGTCACAAAATAACAACTGCGAGTACGTGGTGGCGGGCTGTTTTCTTTGTTTCTTGGTTTCGCGTTTCTTTTTTCTCCCTCTTTTTGTGTGGTTTTGTCCCTCTGTCTTTGTGCATTTCTGCTTTTGTCTTTGTCTTTGCCTCTGTGTCTGTGCGTGCGTGCGTCCGTTCTGGTAGTACGGGTTTCGGCAGAGGGAAGGGGCACGCGCCCAGTGGAAGGAACAACGGACTTTGGGAGAGAAAAGGGATCGTAGGAAGCCTCACGCTAGCCCCGACGGCGACGGCAGCACGGACGAGAGATGGATTTTAGTACTTGCCCTACGAATACAAACGTTTAAAAAGAATTTTAGCAAAGCTGTCACATCCCCCGTTCCTCTTCTAGCCTCTCCAGGCCCTAGGAGTTCAGTCCCCGGGCAGTGGGTGCAGGAGGGCGCCGGGCCAGAGGGGCTGACTCCGTGGGCAGGCTGCCTCTCCCGCGGCGGGGAAAAGCCAAGCCGTCCCTCCCTGCGGATGGCAGCGAGGGGGTGGTCTACCAAGGGGGTGGGGTAGAGAAGAGGAGGAGAGGAAGGCAAAGGGTACACGGTCCTGTCCAGGCTGCTCTGCCGTCTTCTCAGGCAAGCTGGCCCTCCCTGCGGGTGGCAGCAAGGGGGCGGTCTACCAATAAATAAATAAATAAATAAAATGTAGACTGAGCTTTAAATGGCATGGTAGCCTGAGATTACATCAGAGAATTCATAAAGGGCATTAATCATATATATATACATACATACATGAAATGTGGAAACAGCTTTGGTTCCAGCAGTAGCCTAAATACACATCAGAGAACTCACACAGGGGAGAAAACATGAATGCATGGAATGTGGAAGAAGATTCAGGCTCAGCAGTGCCCTAAGTTTATATCAAATAACTCACACAGGAGAAACTGTATTCATGCATGGAATGTTTATCATTGAATTTTGGGAGGTTCTAATTAAAATAGTTCAAATAAATAATTATCATATTTACAACCCCATTTTAAAGTATAAATGTTAGCATTATTTTAATTCATTGTATTTTACTGATACCTATGGCATGATAGTATTTTAGCCGCCCAGATTGGTATGATATACCAGATGGGCGGGATATAAATCAAATAAAGAAAGAAAGAAATAAAATAAGAAACTACATTACAGAGAATCCCAATAAATTGTTGAGGTTTGGGTAGACATTTGCTAGAACAACGATGGTGTCACCATCCATTTTGTCTTTCAGGGGTAGCCAAACTTTTAATCTAGGTGTGAGATCTGAGACCCATTGTTCGAGAGGTACCTTTTTCTGTCACAGGAAATGAATTTTTTGGGGAAAAGGAAGGAATGTAAAATTTACCCCTTTTATGGGATGGGATCCTGAGTAGGGAATGAGTAGGGAATGGGTAGATAGTTTAGATGCCATGGTCTGTCTCTCCGGCTTCCTGCAGGCATCACCTCTGTTTAAAAAACAAGCCTTGAAACTTGAGGACACCAGTTATACAGAGCCTCCTATCAGACTGCTTCCATTCTTCCCACTTAACTTTAGCAAAGTAAGAGACTGTGGAGACTTAGACATGGGAAGAAAACAACACGAGAGTTCTTAGTGATTATAATATATTGGTTATGGCTACACATAGATACATATATACAAGGCAAGATACATTTGGCATAACAACATTCAGAGCAATATTGACATAGAAGTAAATGACCACCAGACTTACTGCTGAGTGGCAAAAGTCTGTTCTGTCTCTGTTACATTTATACCCAGAGCAACCAATCACATTTCTCCATTTACAGCTGGTCTTGCTTAACAATCAAGCATTACATCAGCTTGTTCCACCTGTATGCTGTTAGTCATTACATTGGCCTTTACCTTACATTTGTGACTCTTCACTTCATTATAATATTAAAATTTAACTCCCTGTTCACCAAAAGATCAAAATCCTGACACCATTCAGTTGAAATGAGCAGAATTAGATGTGGGAGTAGGGGAGGGTTGTTGGTACTTTTGGTCTTTTTTTCTTCTTCGCTACTTCTCCCATATGATATTAGACTGATGCTCTCAGGAGTCTATCTGTGTCACTTCTCTTTCTCTAAGGGGTAGACATACAGTTGCTCTTATCCCTTATTTATTTTGTTATGAGTAGAGCATAGATTTTTGTCGTGAGAGCCACTTCCTTATTAGAGGTTAGAAGACAGAGGGGTGATATGATGACATTTTTCATATATTTGAAAGTCTGTCATACAGAGGAGGAGCAGAATCTGTTCTGAGAGTTCAGGACACGCAACCATGGGATCAAGTTACAGGAAGCCAGATTTTGTTTGAATATTAGAAAAACTTCCCTACTGTTAGAGAAGTACGACAGTGGAACAAACTACCTTGAGAGGTGGTGAGCACTCGAACAGTGAAGGCATTCAAGAGAAACCACCGGGCATATATCCTTTGATTTCTATTTTTGCATTGAGTAGGGGGGGGGGTTGGACATGATGGCCTGAGAGGCCCCTTCCAATTTCACTATTCTACGATTCTATGAAAGCTAAAAACATTTAAAACTTTAAAAATAAATTTGTAAAACTTGTTAGTCTGTCAAAATGTTCTGGTCTGACCTTAAGAAAGATGAAAGGGAGAGACAGGCCCGACAGAGAAGGGATCCAAGGGAGAAGGCGGAAGGGCACAAAGTTGTCTATGGTAACCACCCATTGGGGAAATCTCGTTAATGCCTTGGGATGTTCAGTCACATGAAAGACATTGGGAAATTGCTCAAACATTTTGAAAGATAAATACAGGGAAACCAGAGGAAATTTAAGGAGAGGTATCCAGGCAGCTAAGGTAGAGAATCACCTAGCAGACAACAACCCAAAGCAGGTGTGCCAGAGGCTGTAGCACTACAACTACAACACGATGAAGACAGCCAACGTTGATGCCTCGCTGGTGTAAGAGCTGAATGTCTTCTTCGCTCGCTACGAGGTGAAGAGACCTGACCCTGTAAGCACCAGCCCGCCGGCCCTCCAGCCATTCATTTTGCATGAACATCAGGTGAAAGCTGCACTGAAGGCTGTGAATCCTAACAAAGCCGCAGGTCCAGATGGAGTGCCGGGGAAAGTGATAAACACCTGTGCTGACCAACTAATGGGGGTCCTAACAAGGATTTTCAACATTTTCCCTGCAAACAGCGAGTGTACCGCCATGTTTGAAAGCAGCCATGATCATCCCGGTTCCAAAGAAAATGGCCATAAATGGCCTGAACGATTATAGACCGATCATGCTGATGTCTGTAGTGATGGTGCTTTGAGAAACTGGTTCTCCAACACCTCAGGTCATGCCTTCTATCAAATTTTGATGAATACCAGTTCGCCTACAGAGGAAAGAAGTTGACAGGCGACGCCATAGCCATGGCCCTACACGGCAATGAGACCCCTGGAGACGCCTGGAAACTATGTCAGGATGCTTTTCATAGACTACAGCTTGGCCTTCAACACCATTCTGCCAGGCATTCTCATCGAGGAGCTGACTGACTTAAATTTTCCTCCCCTCACTTGCGACTGGATTAGAGACTTCCTGACAGACCGCCCACAAACAGTAAGGGCTGGTTCCTTTTACATCCTCTTCCCTGAAGCTCAGCACAGGCTCCCCTCGGGGCTGTGTGCTTAGTTCCTACCTGTACTCGCTGTACACACATGATCATACCTTCAGACCCATCTAACATGATAATAAAATTTGCAGATGATATCACCGTGCTGGGCTTTATCTCAGGAGGGGGTGAAACAGCATACAGGAAAGAAATCCAGAAGCTAACTACATGGTGCTTAGAAAACAATCTGCACCTAAACACCAGCAAGACTAAGGAGATGGTGTTGGAGTTCTGGAAACGGAGACAGGAACCAGCCCCACTCTGTATCAAGGGGAGCAGTGTGGAGAGGGTTTCCTCCTTCAAATTCCTGGGAATGCACCTCAGCCAGGATCTCACCTGGAAAAGTAACACATTCCAGGTGGTCAGGAAGGCCCAACAGAGACTCCATCTCCTAAGAAAGAGTCTTACGGAAAAACCAGGTGACACAGCGGCTGATGACACCCTTCTACCAGTCAGCAATAGAAAGCGTCCTCACAGTATGGTCCGCTGGCTTAACAACCACGGACAAGAGGGTGATGAGTGCAGCACAAAAAATTGTGGGCTGCCCCATAACCCTGCTGGAGGAAATTGCCAGGTCCCACTGTCACAACAGAGTGAGTAAAATCCTTAGGGATGACTCTCACCCGGGACAGCACTTCTTCATACTTCTACCATCGGGCAAGAGCTATAGAAGCATAGCCAGCCGGACAAATAGGCTGAAAAATAGCAGATGTATTCTGTGTCTGAATGTATTTTGTGTTTTTGTGCTTTGTGTGGTTGTACCAACGAAGGATCATTCAATTTCACTGCACACATGTTGTGAATTGACAATAAAGATATGATGATGATGATGATGATGATGATGATGATGATGATGATGATGATTATACAATCAGTCTCGAGGTAGTTGGCTCTACATTACTTACTGAATGTATTTTTAATTATTCTTAGAGTTTACTTGCTTCTTAGTTTGCATTTTTTGTGCTTTTAATAAGACTGGATTTAACATGGTAAGCCACCTTGCGTCCCCTCACTTTTATATTTTGTTTCTCGTTGTTGATTCTCGTTCTTATGTTACTGTTTTGTCCCGTTTTGTAAACCTCCTAGAGTGGCCTCGGCAGCCAGATGTGCAGTATAAAAATCATATGAATACAGAAATAAACCTCTCTTCCTCTCCATAAAGCTATCACATTCTCCTCGGGTGCCCCAGGAAAAACAACCCCAGTCTTGAGTCTTCCTAGCCCTCTTCTGTACCTGAATCTCCACCCACCTGGTGATTGTTATCTGACCCCCAGCCGACACACACACAGCCGGGGCTCAGCCAGAGGACTTTTCTCCTCCCTGCTTGCCTCTCTTTCTTCTTTCCCTCTGGTAACTCCTAGACTGATCCCAAACAATGAACATTCAGCACCACATCAGGGGCACGGTCTATGCTAGTGGAGGGGAGCCATGAACTGGGAGCATGGCAGGCCTGCACTTGGAGGGCCTTTGGCCCTTTTTCCATTTCTAGGTTCTCCGTGCACTTGGAGGGGTCCAAGATGGAAGGGAAGAAACCTGAGGCTGGAGAGAATCTGGGGGAGGGATGGTTTGCAGTGTCTCACATCCGCCACCTGCCATATAGGTCTAATGCCTCTGGTGGGAAATGGGAACAGGGGAAATCAACCCCGCCTGGCTGAGAGGGTTGTGGGATTCAGGTGACCTTGCAAAAGTCGGCAGGGCCTGAGCAGATTATTTGCAGGGGTGATCCAAGGACAAGAAGAGGAAAGAAAGGATCCCTCTTTTTTTTGAAACCACACATGAACGGGCACATGTAGGAGGGTAGACTGCGGAGCCCCCCATCTGTGGGGAAAACAATGGGGGGTTACTGTTTGAGAAGTGCCAAGAGGATGAGCGCCTCAGTTTCTTCATAGCAATAGGTTTCTCCCCTTTCGGCCTCCTAAGATTTGTTTTCATGAATGGGGGAGAGAGAAAAGTTGTAGAAATAAAGCGGGGGGGGGGAGGGAGAAGAAGGTGGGAAAAAATTAGGGGTCCCCTTCCTAGCTCACCCAATTTCCCCACCAGTTTCCTCTCCCTTTTTCCGTTTGAAAAGCGCCTAGGGAGGAGCCCCCTCTTTGCCCCTGCTAGCTCCTGAAGGGACGTTTCCAGGAATGAAGAGCTGGGGGCGAGAGCAGAGGACAGAAGAAGAAGATGATGATGGGGAGGAATCCCTGGCCCCTCCCCCTCCATCTTTTGCAAGAAGAGAAGAGGGACAACCTAGAGCTACGAAAGAGGATGCAGGAGCGCCTCTCCTTTGGAGGTTCTCCAAAAGTCAGTCTCTACCAAAAAGCGGAGGGAGGAGACTCTTCTTTATAACCTTACCCCCCCCAGACCCTCTTCGCCCCCTTTTTCCCCCCTGCGGGTCCTCCACTCCCTTCTCCTCCCGTCATTCATGAAATCCTTTGATTTAGAGAGGGGAACCTAGAGCTACGATGGTTGTAGAGGAACTCCTCCCCTTTGGCGTTTCTCTGAACAGGAAGCGGAAGCAGAGAGAGGATGGGTCTGTCGTCCCATCTCTATGGTTTCTGGGGAGGGCGCTTGCAAAAGGGTCTCCTCTTTCTGGGGAGGGAGCTTGCAAAAGGGCCTCCTTGGGAGTTTCCCCGCTTCAGGATCTGCAAGGAGGTGAGCCATTGGGAAGAGGATGCAAAATGTCGGGGGGGGGATGTAAAAAAAAAAAAAAAGGAAGGCAAAAATCCCTGCCATCCGGATTGCAAATCTACCCCGTCTCCGTTTTGATCTCCATTGCAAGGACCCGAATTGGTCTTGCAAAGGAGGCTTCCTCCCCTCCACTGTGTCCTATTTACAGATGATGGGGAGGGGTCGGATGTTGGGGGAGCAGATGCCACCCGTAGAGACAGGGAGACACTCCGGACACACACACACACACACACCCCATGACCCATCAGAGCAAGGCACCTGTCGATCCTCCTTCGCATCTCGTGAATCAAGGATTGTGGGAGAGGGAGGTTTCCATCCTCCTCCTTCCACCCTGTCGTTCTTGAATGACACGGGAGGGGGAGGGGGAAACGTGCGAGTGCCTGTCCAGGAAGGGAAGGATCCT